CCTTTGTATGAAGCGTGCGCGGGAATTGGGCGCGCTGCTGGGCGGATACCGTGAGGAGCAGCTCCCGTGCTGTGTGCGGGACGGGGAGGCGTGCGGGCGGCGGCAGGAACAGACCGCAGGCAGCAGGACTTGAGCGCAATGGACCCCGGGGGCAGTGAAGCAAGGCCACGAACAAGTAGTCCTGCGAATTGGGGGGCGGGGAGGAGGTGAGGAAAGAGTCGGAAGCGGTGCGCTGGCGAGGACAATGGTCGCGCCGAGTTGGTCGACTTTTTCGACCTGGAGCTCAGTTTTGGCGTGCATAGCATGGGTCGTGGGCCGCTAGGGCCACCAGGGGTCCACGCCATGTTCCCAGGTGTACTACCACTAGGTGTACTGTATGTACTGCACAGAGACCACACCACATACACACACACACAAGGGCGGGCGCGGGGGCGCTGCACTCAACAACTCGCCCCGCCCGTGGCCGCGCCCGCTGCCGCGCAGCTGTTGAGGCCGCCGTTGACGCTGCGGATGCTGCTGCTGCATCCTCGTCGCCCGCCCGGCGAGACTGACGGCACTCGCACTGGGTCGTTGAGCACCGGCCAAAGCAGCAACGCGCTGCAGTGCAGTGCAGGGGTCCGGGAATTTTCCTAGCACCACCCAGCCCGGAGGCGGCAGAAATCCTCAACGGCCCTGCCCTGCCCACCGCAAGCCACGCCTTGCTGCCTCCCAGCCAGCCAGAGATAAACCGCCAATGCGTTGGGCCTGTCGTCCCTGCAACTTCCGCTCCTCGCTTTCCCCCCCCCTTGCCACGACAAATCCTGCGCGGGGACTCTCGTCGCCCCTCCCCGGGACCCTTGATCGTCCAGCAGTCTTGTGCCCTCACCGCACTACACCCTCCCCACCCGATAGCGCGTCTTCTTCCTGGCTCTTCTGCCCGCCCTCGACCCACGACACGCCTCGTCTATTTTGTCTCTGAGATACCCATTGAGCTCTCTCAGAGCGTCAATCCACCCCCCTCCCTCCCCCCTCCCTTCTCCTCGCCCCCTCCCCAAGCCACCTCATCATGCGTCCCGAGGTCGAGCAGGAGCTGTCGCACACGCTGCTCATCGAGCTGCTCGCATACCAATTCGCCTCCCCCGTGAGGTGGATTGAGACGCAGGATGTCGTCCTCGGCGAGAAGACGACGGAGCGCATCGTCGAAATTGGCCCCGCAGACACACTGGGCGTCATGGCCAAGCGCACCCTCGCCAGCAAATACGAAGCACACGACGCTGCCCGGTCACTGCAGCGTCAGATTCTGTGCTACAACAAGGACGCAAAGGACATCTACTACGACGTAGACCCTGTAGAGGAAGAGCCAGAGGCGCCCGCCGCCGCCAGCGGGGGTGCTCCCGCCGCCTCCTCTGCTCCCGCCGCCTCTGCTCCCGCCGCCGCCGCCGCTGCACCACCCCCCAGCGCTGGCCCGGCGGCTCAGGTCCCAGATGCTCCCGTCACAGCGACCGACATTCTGCGGACGCTCGTGGCCCAGAAGCTCAAGAAGCCGCTGATGGACATTCCGCTGACCAAGGCCATCAAGGATCTGGTCGGAGGTAAGACCAATGGCAACTCCACGACGCAAATCTCGGCTAACGCATGCTCCAGGCAAGTCTACCCTCCAGAACGAGATCCTCGGAGACCTGGGCAAGGAATTCGGCTCGACGCCAGAGAAGCCCGAGGACACCCCTCTCGACGAGCTCGGTGCTTCAATGCAGGCTACCTTCAATGGTCAGCTTGGAAAACAATCCTCCTCCCTCATTGCCCGCATGGTCTCGTCCAAGATGCCGGGTGGCTTCAACATCACAGCCGTGCGAAAGCACCTCGAGACAAGATGGGGGCTGGCACAAGGGCGGCAGGACGGTGTTCTGCTGCTCGCCATCACCAACGAGCCACCAGCGCGTCTGGGCTCGGAGAACGATGGAAAGGCCTTCTTGGACGAGCAGGCCAACAAGTATGCATCCACTGCCGGAATCAGCCTGTCTGCCCCGACAGCTGGCGGCGACTCTGGCGGCTCTGGCGGCGGCATGATGATGGACCCTGCGGCCATTGATGCGCTGACCAAGGACCAACGCCAACTTTTCAAGCAGCAGCTCGAGCTGTTTGCACGATACCTCAAGATCGACCTTCGCGCAGGCGACAAGTCGTTTGTTGACTCGCAAAAGGCTCAGTCGGCGCTCCAGGCCCAGCTTGACCTCTGGACCACCGAGCACGGCGAGTTCTACGCGTCCGGCATCGAGCCTCAATTCACACCACTCAAGGCGCGCGTCTACGACTCGTCATGGAACTGGGCTCGCCAAGACGCCCTCACCATGTTCTACGACATCATTTTCGGCAAGCTCAAGGCCGTTGACCGTGAGATTGTCAGCCGCTGCATTGCCATCATGAACCGATCGAACCCGCTGCTTCTCGACTTCATGCAGTACCACATCGATCACTGCCCCACCGAGCGCGGCGAGACCTACCAGCTTGCCAAGGAGCTCGGACAACAGCTCATTGACAACTGCAAGGAGGTGCTGAACGAGGCACCCGTCTACAAGGATGTCGCGATACCTACTGCGCCTCACCTGGAGATTGATGCCAAGGGCAACATGAACTACGAAGAAGCCCCAAGAGCGAGTGTCCGCAAGCTTGAACACTACGTTCGCGAGATGGCCGAGGGAGGAAAACTCTCCGAATACGGCAACCGCACCAAGGTCCAAAACGATCTGCAGAGGATCTATAAGCTCATCAAGCAACAGCACAAGCTTTCCAAGTCGTCGCAACTGCAGATCAAGAGCCTGTACAGCAATGTCATTCGCTCTCTTTCCATGAACGAGGGCCAGATCATGCCCAGCGAGAACGGCAAGGCTGTCGGTGGTAAGCGAGGCCGCAACGGCCGCGTCCATGCTTCCGCCAAGCATGGCAAGGTTGAGACCATTCCCTTCCTCCATCTCAAGAGAAAGGACGACCACGGCTGGGAGTACAGCAAGAAGCTCACTGGCGTCTACCTAGACTGTCTAGAGGAGGCTGCCAAGTCTGGTGTTACGTTCCAGGGCAAATACGCTCTTATGACCGGTGCTGGTGCTGGTTCTATCGGTGCTCAGGTTCTTCAGGGTCTCATCAGCGGTGGAGCCAAGGTTGTCGTTACAACTTCCAGGTTCTCACGCGAAGTTACCGAGTACTACCAGTCCATGTACTCCCGGTACGGTGCTCGCGGCTCGCAGCTTATTGTGGTTCCTTTCAACCAAGGTAGCAACCAGGACGTCGAGGCCTTGATCGACTACATCTTCGACACCAAGAAGGGCCTCGGCTGGGACCTTGATCTGATTGTTCCTTTCGCCGCCATTCCCGAGAACGGCCGTGAGATTGACAGCATTGACTCCAAGTCTGAGCTCGCTCATCGCATCATGTTGACCAACCTTTTGCGTATGCTTGGAGCCGTCAAGAAGCAGAAGCAGGCATATGGCTACGAGACCCGTCCGGCACAGGTCATCCTGCCATTGTCGCCTAACCACGGTACCTTCGGCAACGATGGTCTGTACTCGGAATCCAAGATGTCTCTTGAGACGCTCTTCTCAAGATGGCACTCGGAAAGCTGGGGCAACTACCTCACAATTTGCGGTGCCGTCATTGGCTGGACACGTGGCACTGGTCTCATGGGCGCCAACAACATTGTCGCCGAAGGCATTGAGAAGTACGGTGTACGTACCTTCTCCCAGCAGGAGATGGCCTTCAACTTGCTTGGTCTGATGGCACCACCCATTGTCAACCTGTGCCAAGTAGAACCGGTATGGGCGGATCTCAACGGTGGCTTCCAGTACATTCCCAACCTCAAGGACCTTATGACCGACCTCCGAAAGGAGCTCACGGAGACAAGTGACATCCGCAGGGCCGTCATCAAGGAAAATGCCATTGAGAACAAGGTTGTCAATGGTGAGGCAAGCGAGGCGCTGTACAAGAAGGCCACGATCGAACCACGAGCCAACATGAAGTTCGATTTCCCCAAGCTTCCTGACTGGGATGCAGAGGTCAAGCCGCTCAACGAGAACCTCAAGGGCATGGTTGATCTTGAGAAGGTTGTTGTCGTCACTGGTTTCGCCGAGGTCGGTCCTTGGGGTAACTCGAGGACCCGCTGGGAAATGGAAGCCTACGGCGAGTTCTCCATTGAAGGATGTGTTGAGATGGCCTGGATCATGGGTCTCATCAAGAACCACAACGGTCCTCTCAAGGGCAAGAGCTACTCTGGCTGGGTCGATGCAAAGACCAATGAACCAATTGACGACAAGGACGTCAAGCCAAAGTACGAGAAGTACATCCTCGAGCATTCCGGTATCCGCCTGATTGAGCCTGAGCTCTTCAATGGCTACGACCCCAAGAACAAGCAGCTCATGCAAGAAATCCAAATTGAGGAAGATCTTGATCCCTTCGAGGCGTCCAAGGAGCTAGCTGACGAGTTCAAGAGGCAGCATGGCGACAAGGTTGAAGTTTTTGCGATTGAGGAATCAGGCGAGTACACGGTCCGCATGAAGAAGGGCGCTACTCTCCTTATTCCCAAGGCTCTGCGCTTTGACCGTCTCGTCGCTGGTCAGATCCCGACTGGCTGGGATGCAAAGAAGTATGGTGTGCCCGACGACATCATCTCACAAGTCGACCCCGTAACACTCTTTGTGCTTGTTTCCACCGCCGAATGTCTGCTTTCCAGCGGTATTACCGACCCCTACGAGTTCTACAAATACGTCCACCTTTCCGAAGTTGGTAACTGCGTCGGTTCTGGTATTGGTGGTACTACCGCCCTCCGCGGAATGTACAAAGACCGCTTCATGGACAAGCCAGTTCAGAAGGATATCCTCCAGGAGTCTTTTATCAACACTATGAGTGCTTGGGTCAACATGTTGCTCATGTCTTCAACTGGTCCCATCAAGACTCCCGTTGGTGCTTGCGCCACTGCTGTCGAATCCATTGACATTGGTTACGACACCATTGTTGAGGGCAAGGCGCGCGTTTGCTTCGTTGGAGGTTTCGATGACTTCCAGGAAGAAGGCTCGTACGAATTCGCCAACATGAAGGCCACTAGCAACGCCGAAGACGAATTTGCCCATGGTCGCACACCCAAGGAGATGTCACGCCCTACCACGACGACCAGGAACGGATTCATGGAATCTCAGGGTTGTGGTATGCAGGTTATCATGGATGCCAAGCTTGCTCTGGACATGGGTGTTCCCATCTACGGTGTGCTTGGTTTCACTGCTACCGCGACTGACAAGATTGGCCGTTCAGTCCCTGCACCTGGCAAGGGTGTGCTGACAACTGCCCGCGAGACACCATCCAAGTTCCCATCACCTCTTCTTGACATCAAGTACAGGAGGCGCCAGATGGACCTGCGACGTAAGCAAATCAAGCAGTGGCAGGAGTCTGAGATCCTCTATCTCCAAGAGGAGGTTGCAGCCATGAAGGACGTTTCGGGCGATGACTTTGACGAGGCTGCTTACCTAGAGGAGCGCGCTGCAAACATCGAGGCCGAGGCCAAACGCCAAGAGAAGGATGCGCTCAACAGCCTGGGCAACAACTTCTGGAAGCAAGATCCTCGCATCGCTCCTCTTCGTGGTGCTCTTGCAACATGGGGTCTTACCATTGACGATCTCGATGTTGCCTCTTTCCACGGTACTTCGACTGTTGCCAACGACAAGAACGAGTCTGACGTTATTTGCCAACAAATGCGCCACCTCGGCCGCAAGAAGGGCAATGCGCTCCTTGGTATCTTCCAAAAGTATCTCACTGGTCATCCCAAGGGTGCTGCTGGTGCCTGGATGTTCAACGGCTGTCTGCAGGTGCTCAACTCCGGTCTCGTACCAGGCAACCGCAATGCCGATAACGTGGACAAGATCATGGAGAAGTTCGATTACATTGTCTACCCATCGCAATCCATCCAGACGGATGGAATCAAGGCATTCTCGGTTACCTCGTTTGGTTTCGGACAGAAGGGAGCCCAGGCCATCGGTATCCATCCCAAGTACCTGTACGCTGCGCTTGAGCACCACCAGTTCGCTGCATACAAGCAAAAGGTTGAGGCTCGCCAGAAGAAGGCCTACCGCTACTTCCACGATGGCCTCATCAACAACACCATGTTCCGCGCCAAGGACAAGGCACCATATGAGGACGAGAAGATGCAAGAGGTCTTCCTCAACCCACAAGCCCGTGTTACCATTGACAAGAAGACTTCGACATACACCTACCCGAAGAACTCCACCCCTGCTCCTAAGAAGGATCAGAAAGCCCAGGAAACAATGAAGATGGTCGAACAGCTCACGCAAGCCACCGCCTCTGCTACTACCAAGGTTGGCGTCGATGTTGAAAGCCTCAGCGCGCTGAACATTGAGAACGAGACCTTCATTGAGCGCAACTTCACCGGAAAGGAGATTGCGTACTGCCAAAAGGCCGCTAACCCTCAGGCAAGCTTCACTGGCAAGTGGTCAGCGAAGGAGGCTGTCTTCAAGTCACTTGGTGTCAAGGGCCAAGGTGCTGGCGCTCCGTTGAAGGACATTGAGATTGTCAACGACGAGTCAGGGGCGCCGTCAGTTCAGGTATGTATCAAGTGCCTTCATAGCAAAGAAAGCATTCTAACATCATGACAGCTGTACGGCAAGGCTGATGAAGAAGCCAAGCGTGTTGGTGTCAAGAGCATTAACATCAGCATCAGTCACTCGGACGACCAGGCCGTCTCAGTCGCGATTGCGCAGTTCTAGACATATCACGGGTGGTAAATGATTATTCAAAAGACGGTAGATGGGCGGTAATATTACTGGAAAGGGCATTTCAAGGACGCTTTATTCCCCCGGCTTGTTTCATCGAGCGCGAAGACGTGTCTAGAGCGTCTTGGTTTTGGTTGGTTTGGTAGGCATGTTAGATGAAAGTGCAATGATTAGTAAATTCTACGTATTGTAATGAAGACCATGTTTCCCAAGAACCGCACAGCACCCGCTTTCCGAACCCATGTCGCAATACGCTAACAAGGAGCATGTTTGATGATGTTACTTTGAGATGACGTGATGCTCAACAAGATGTTCATGTTGCGGGTTGTGTATCTGCCGACCCAAGAAGAGTAGGATTGTTACAGATAAGCTCAACAACGGACGCATATCCGGTTCCGCGAGTCAAGGCGAACACATACCCCGCTCTTACATGGATAAAGCATGTGGTTGAGAGCGACCCTGCAGCGGGTAGCTGCATGTGCGTAAGCTGTTGAGCGCGTTGGGAACGCGCCGGTGTTCGGATCAACTCGGATGCATGTGGGCCAGGTAGGCTACTGATAACCCATGGTTTCAGGGCAAAGAAGATAAGTATAGTATAGTGTGGTATAGTATAGTGATAGCGTAAGACGGGGCGATCGGAAACATGGAGAGATAGTAAAATTGGGCTTAAAATTTTTTTTGTTGAGCATCTCTCTCTTTTTCTTTTCCGAGGTTTCATCGGTAAACGGATGTGCGTGATGTGGATTGGGGGCGTATGTCTGTTGGCGTAATTCGATGGCACTGCTCTATTGAGCCGGGTAGCCGGGTGGCGGGATGTAGTGGTAGGTATCTTGATGTTACTAGTGCTAGTGCTAGTGCTAGTATGTTATCTGATCATGGTTGGGAAAAGGAAAACTTGGAAAGAAATACACACGGGATTACAGTATGACATCATGGATCCACTGCAGGGCGCATGGTGGAGAAAAGAAAGAAGAGGAAGGGGGGGAAGAAAGAAGCAAGTGGGAAAGTGGGGGATTTGTCTATCGAAGTGATAGGTGTAGTAAACACGTAAGTATTGCCTTACAGTGGGTTGTTTGCTTTTCAGTAGATTCCCACAGACATCTACTATCACTCCTCCTCCTTCCACGGATACGTCTTCTTGACCCACACCAAATCCTTAGAACTCGGTTTCCTGACCTGCTCGAGTAACCTCGTCCCCAGCTCATGCCGTTCGGCATCCACATATGCCATGACGGGGCAGTCTTCGCCCTCCTCAATGCACTTTGTATTTGAGTATCCCGTGACACTAGCATAGTGCATGATGCTGGCGAGATCGTAGTAGCTGTGGGAATTGATGGTCCAGCCGGGCTCGACGTGGTTCTTGATGAAGCCCGAGCACGAGCAGCCGTACTTGAGGGCCCGCGGCATCGATGTGCACACGTCTGTGGGCGTGATGGCGAGGCCTTCTTGCGAGCGGGCGCGCGCCCAGCACGCGGGCCAGTCGACGAGGTGGCGGAAGTCGATTTTCACCCATGTGTCGCGGTCAGCGCGGTTGTGCTCGTGTGCCATGCCTAGTAGTTTTGTCAGTTTATCATATCTCAGTCTTGGCTTTTTGCGTTTGGGGACAACGTCGTGTGGTTATCTTTTCAGAAAGAGAAAGGGAGAGAGAAAGAAAGAGAGAAAGAGAGAAAGAGATTCTACTTACCCAGTACATGCCCGAGCTCGTGCAGAATGCCAAACAGCGTGTAGCCATCTGCAATGTTGACGATTTGCTGCCAGGGCTTGCCGTTGCGAGTTAACCCCACACTAGCGCCCCAGGCTCTGTCGTCGCTGTACTCGAAAGCAACAGTGTCGTGTGGCACGTTTGGGTTCCAGGCATCGCGGTTGTTGGGTTGTCCGCAGTACAATGGTTTTCCCTGCGTGTCTTTGCGCTCTTGGAAGCTGATGGCGTGTCGGGCTTCCTCGCTCGCTGGGCCGCCGAGATGTCTAGTAGCTATGTGTTAACCATTAATTCATCTTACCTGGGTTTACTAGCGAGAAAAGAAAAACAAAAAGATAGAAGAAAGTCCACTTTTTCGGCACTGACTTACTCGATCCACTTGGCCATACCATTCTCGACTATGTTTCGGATGTATCTGCGATCCCATTCCTGTGTAAAGCAGTAGGGGATTACGGCTTGGTGGGTGCCGGTGCGTGGCCAGGGGATGGGGCCTCCGTCATTTCCCCATGCGTCGGTGATGCCTTGGCCGCCTGGACTAGGTAGAGTCTCGAACGAGGCGATGTAGTCGGTCCAGTTTGCGGCTTTTGTGCCATTGGCGTAGACGGGAGCGGGAGTACCGCAGAAGGGTCCGAAGATGGGTAGAGGCTCGGGGATGGAGACTGCGACTGCAAGGATAGCGAATGGTAGGAGAGATGGAAGGAGCATGGTGGGTGGAAGCGATTTTCGGTAAGGCAGGCAGTTGTGCGATGAGAGGCGCATCTGGGAGAGCCTTTGGGCGCAATATTGAAATATAAGGGCGTGGTCGTGAACGCACGGGGCCGTTGGCGCCTGCGAGTGAAAGGTGCTCGAAGTGGAAATCACTGTGGTTCTGGAGTGAGAGTGATTTCCAAGGTCTGTGCATGTGAGACTGGTGAAAGTGCATGCGATGGAGAGAATGATCATGCACGCGAATTCAAAGTCTATGATGCTGTTTAGAGCAAGTATATGATAGTTAAGACGTGCATACAAGCCACCAGTCTCCTTCGGTATGAGCTTCGTTAAATCTTGAACGTTTCAGCTTATCATTGGGCGCCTGGACTAGCAGCTGGGCCGACAAGAAGACAGGTATAATGAAAGACACAGACGATTGCGTATTTCCTCTTCTTGCTGCCTATTTCTGTTGGAACTGAACAACAGACTCATTCTTTCGGAAATCCACTATCTCTTGGAAACTGCAAAAGTTCCAAGAAGAGCTGCGGACTTTGACAGAAGCTGAATCAGTTCCAAAACCTTTGGAAACTCTGAAAATTTCCAATTCAAAGTTGGAGAGGTCTTAGTATCATTCACGATGCTTCTGAAGACCAGCAAGAGCCAAAAACATGTGGTGAATATCGGGAGGCTATCTTTATCTCCGGTAACCAGTGTTATCTCCGGTTGCCCCGCAGTTGATGATGACACTCAGCCATGTCAATTCACTCCACAACGTCTACCGAGCTGTTATATCCTGGAATGGAGGTTTTAATCAACAAGGTTAGTTCGCGATTTGAATTGGATTTCATGGCTCGGCCTCGATGAAATGCAGCTCTCCGCAACTACATCGTCTGTTGACAGCAGATGTTCTCTTGAATGATGCGCATATGCAGCCTTGTGAGTAGGCTGCATTAATCTGCGGCATGCCATTTCGGTACTTAGAAGAATAGAGTTCAAATAGGCTTATCTCAATAGGAGCCATGGACACATCCACCATAACTCTTCAGTAACCCAACCACGAAGAAAACAGCACGACGAAAGCGTACTCCAACACCACACACGACGAACATGGACAAAGCCACTTTCGAGAACCACGCACATCTCCCTATCGCAATCATTGGAGGTGGCCTTGGTGGGTTAGCGCTCGCCATTGGGCTCACTCGGCATGGCGTCAAGGTGCATATATATGAGAGCTCCTCCGAATTCTCGGAAATAGGCGCCGGAGTGACGTTTGGAACCAATGCAACGAAGGCGTTGCATCTAATCGATCCGCGCTTACTGCAAGGCTTCATGAAACATGCGACTTTCAATGCCGACCCGGAGCGACATAACACGTTCAATACAATCCTGTGGGGTATGGATGAAAGGCGGCATGGTGGGCACAAAGCCGGAGACTTTGCCTTTCACCAGGATGACAAAGGGCACTATGAGGGTGAATTGGCCGGGCTTGGTATGAAGGGCCGCATACACAGAGCCCGTCTCCTAGATGAGATGGTGGCTCTGTTGCCAGAAGATATCACAAGCTTTAATAAGAGTTTTGTCAGTGTTCAAGATGCTGGGAACGGTATGTTGAAGATGAGTTTTGCTGATGGGACAAGTGCGCTTGCCAGTGCGATTATTGGCTGCGACGGTATCAAGAGTAAAGTCCGGCACCACGTCTGTGACCCGGATGTCCAACCAAAGTCCGCCGGCGAATGCGCGTTCCGGGCAATGGTTCCGGGTGGTGAAGCTAGGAAGATGTTGGGAGACGAAAGGGCCTTGAACAGCCAACTATATTGTGGTTATGGTGGATACATCATCACCTACCCTGTGGAACATGGCCAGTTTATCAACATGGTTGCCTTGCCACAAGATGAGCCCACTCCTGGAGTGAACGAAGACGCCTGGACCGTACCCACAAATGCGGACGAGATCAGAAAGCGATTTCATGACTGGTATCCGCCTCTTATTGAGCTCATGGCCCGCCATCACCTCCCCTCTAAATGGGCTCTGTTCACTCTCCAACATGATTCACCCTACTTCAAAAACCGCATTTGTCTCCTCGGCGATAGCGCACATGCTACCACACCACATATGGGAGCGGGAGCTGGTATGGCCATGGAAGATGCGTATATCCTCAGTCACCTGGTTGCTTCGGCAGGAGGTATCGCTAATATCGAGGCGGCATTCCAGGCCTATGACGCCGTAAGACGTCCAAGAACGCAGCAGTGCATCAAGTACAGCCTAGACGCAGCTCAGGCCTATGACTTTGCTGTTGAAAATGTCGGAGACAACATGGGCAAGATAGAAGACATGCTCGATGAGAGATTTGAGTGGTTGTGGCATGAAGACCTAGAAGCGCAGCTGTTGACCGCAAAGGATCTCCTACAGAGCTGTTGACTGCCGACATCTGCCTTCCCCTTGCATCCTCCATGGTTTCGTCTCACACGCGCCTCTTCTCAAGTTTTCGCTTTAACTGCCAATGTTCAGAATCGCTGTTTTTCCTCCGTTGTCTGAAATCACGTATACCTCTCCCAAGAGTATCATCTATATCATCTCTACATATGAATGCTTGGCCAGGTCGCAGCCTTGTATCGCTTGGCGTTTTGCATGAAGAGCATTGTTAATGCTCCAAAAACCGTACCACTCTACTGACTTCGCAGTCTGAGCCTCAAAAGCTCAATCGGGCCGGCTAGCTGGCTTGAGATGACAAATGTCGATTACGTCACCAGACGGTGGGGCGTTGACACCGCTATGGCTGCTATGGCATCCCGTGTCCCGCTAACAACGGCAATTGTCCCCTTCTCAGGCACATCGCCTTTGAACAGGTATTCGCTGTTCCAATAGCGGTTTAGAAAGCCCCCGGGATCCTGTTTTGGGAGGCATCATGCTGGCGTAGAACACGTTAGAAAATTCCATGAGATGTTACTTTCGTGCGCTGGCCGAGATCTGCCGATTGAGATTTCAAACCATCTACCCGCTTAAGTCGTCATTTGACTATATAACACGTTTTAGTATACCACATTGACATTCCTGACAAGACACTCACATTCGGTTTCATATTCAATCTGCATTAACTACTCTGCCTGGACTCGGCAGTTTCCCCAGTTTTCACTCACAAAAGACCAAGATGGCAACCAGCCGCCTTTTCGAGCCGCTCCAAGTGGGCAACATGGAACTAAAGAACCGCGTTGCCATGGCGCCTTTGACCCGTTTCCGTGCAAACGATAAACATGAAATTCTACCCATGGCAGCAGAGTACTATGGCGAGCGTGCTTGTGTACCTGGTACCCTTCTTATCAGCGAAGCGACCCTGACTTCAAAGAAAGCTGGTGGCTACGATCACGTGCCTGGTATTTGGACACAAGGTCAAATAGATGCCTGGAAGCTGGTCACCAAGGCCGTTCATGAGAAGGGCTCATATATTTACCTTCAGCTGTGGTCCCTTGGGCGTACAGCGGACCCAAATTATAACAAGCGGAACGGCATTCCCATGAAGTCTTCCAGCGCTACGCCCATGGATAAGGACTCTGTCGTACCAGAGGAGATGACTGTTGAAGATATCAAGGAGAGCATCAACGACTACGCTCAAGCTGCCAAGAACGCCATCGAGGCTGGCTTTGATGGTGTAGAAATCCACGGCGCGAACGGCTACCTCGTCGACCAATTCCTCCAGGATGTATGCAACAAGCGCACAGACTCATATGGCGGCTCGGTCGAGAACCGCTCTCAATTTGCTGTCGAGGTTACCCAGGCCGTCGTCGAGGCCGTGGGTGCAGAGAAGACTGGTATCCGATTGAGCCCATACTCTAAATTCCAAGGCATGAAGATGGAGGACCCGCTACCTCAGTTTACCGACATCATGAAGAAGTTGGATGCTCTCAATATTGCCTACGTCCATCTTGTCGAATCACGTATTGCAGGCAACACCGATGTCGACAACGTCGAGTCCCTTGATCCCTTGCTGCCACACTTCACTGGCAAGCTCCTAATTGCTGGAGGCTTCAAGGCCGATTCTGCCAAGAAGCTGGTTGAGGAGCACAAGGAGCGCGATATCGTTGTTGTGTTTGGACGTTATTATATTTCAACACCCGACCTCGTCTTTAGGTTGCAGAAGGGCATCGACTTTAACCCTTATGACCGAGACACCTTCTATCTCCCAGAGAGCGCGAAGGGATACCTTGATCAGCCATTTAGTAAGGAGTGGGAAGAGGCTCAGGCAAAGTTGTAGAGATGTGCTAGAGAGATACCCAGTAGTACATTGAAGACTAGTTTCGTGTAAAAGAAGAAATGATATAAATGATCAAATTACTAATATATGCAATCGTCTTATGAGTACCTTAGGACGATAGCCATTCTCCCTCTCTTATTAGGGCCATCTCTCTTCTAAGTTTGATACTAGGATAACGATTAGAGTACATGGTAAAGACATGAGTGTAACTGTAGTTAGAGAATAGTGGTCATCTTTGTGTTATCATCTCTCTCATTATCTATAAACTTTTAATCAATTCGTGCACTGCTAATAGTTTATTTATTCTAGTAGACCTTTAATGTTGCTATAGAGTTAGCTTCTCTATTGACCTAGTCTAGGTGTACTTAAAATTTTACAAAGATTCATTGGATTGCTGGGCCCGAGATTAGTGTGCATTCCCATGAGGGGTTTTTTTTTAAATGTGTATGTGCAGGGCACAAGCGCGGACTGAGCGAAATTTGACTCAGTCAATACATTTGAAACTATGGTCTTTAGAATTCCTCAAGGAAATCCTAGCTCATGAGATTATTGCCCCCTGAATATATTGTATCCTTGATCTTTGTAATTCCACGAAATGAAGATTTTTAATGAAGGCTCCGCTCAACACTTGTTGGTGTCGTGGAAGAGATCCGTGAAAACCGGGCAAGGATCCCTTGTTGTAGAAGATGAGAACGAGAACCGACTATCTGGTTCATATGAACAACTCCGCTTTTTAGATATACTATTATTTAAAAGAGGCAGGATATATATTTACGTAGAGTTTCAAGTGAATTGTAAAGGCAAGCCATGCTTGGTTCTAAATGAATTCGGTTATCATGAGCGAGATGAAATAACGCATAGTGACCACCTCATGATTCGCACAAAAGGATTCTAAGGATCTGTCCAGATTGAATTTATTGGCTAGAATGTAAGGAGCCTTGAGGTACTAGAGACGCAATGTTTGATTTGTAAACGCGAATGTCTTAACAAGGCTCAAAGGCTGATATCAACACCCACTGTTTGAACGTTGTGCGAAAGCATACTTACATAGACAATGTAGCGATATCCAAACTATAAATAACTTTTGTTTTCTTACAACCAAGTCTACAGACAAAACAAGAAGTGCTTGAACAACAACAGCTGAAAACCGAAGGAATACCTATTGTAACAAAAGATACACAGTCGCCATGTCCAAGCCGAAGAAGACAGTTACTTTTGCTCCTGAAACCAAATTCACGCCTGGTCGCGATTCGAATGAGTTCTGGAGAGAAAGCCGCTATTATACTCGCGGAGAGCACGCATGTCCTGAAGATTCCGAGGGTTGGCAAGACACTAGTCTGATAGGAGATATTTTGGAGCAGATCATGTATCTCAAAGTCTACGGTAATTATTGTGTCCGCGACGATGAAGAAGTCAAGAGGGTTGGTGATATACTCTGGAGGGATCCAGAGTCCACTGAACCACTACTCGGAGACTCAGACGCCCGACTTTACGAACATCCGTTTTGCTTCGAAGTATTGGATGAATATATTGACTTTCGAAACAGGTATCCTAACCATCCAGAGGCGGAAAATATAGGAAAAGCCGTTGTCATTTACCAGTATCCTGACGGTAAATTTTACGGCTTCGAATTCATGGATGATGCGAGCGAGGAGGCAGAAGCGCATGACTATATGGAGGCCTTGAGAGCAGCTATTCCTGCGGCTAACACAGGACAGCCGCGACATGTCGCACTTCGTTCGATAAGGAAATCGTTACGCGGCGAGGGGGAGAGAGAAGATCTAAGTGCCGAGGAATTCTGAGACGGAACATCATGTGGCTATTTTTGAGACATTAGGGGGGTTTTTGCGAGACAAGTTACACCTTGTCACTGTCTGGTGTTCAGTAGCACGCTAGTGGCATGACTCTGCCTAGGCCCCCAAGCGGACTTTTAGCTTATTTCCATTCGCCGAGGGCTTGCAGCAGTTTATTGGATGACGTAGAGAAGTAGTAGGAAACAAGAAGCTTTCAATGACATGTGCAGCTCGAATACATACTATCTGTTACTCCAAAGTTTAGTGCCAACAACGAAACGATGGTGCTATGTGGGCATGACAAAAAGTATGGAAGCGAACCAGGAACTAATGTAGTAGAGACGAGCCGTCGCCGGAAAACATGATTACCGGTCACTGTTTCCGGAGTGTGAGGGTCTAAGAGGGCCGGGTGTCTAGACCTTCTCGAAGCGCTCGTTAGAGTGTTTGGATTTGATGCGACCCATGGAGGCGGGAGGGTCCAGGGGTCTGGACAAGTATAGGAGAAGATGTATGCCAAGAGAAGCGGCTACATCTGGGCAGCGAATCATACAGCAAATAGCATTCGGAGAATAAGCGCTTAGTGCGACTGCAGGCTGATCGATCCCATGTACATTTCCTAGGTTGCGAGCAAACGAGATCGATGGAACCTTGGCAAAGGGAAAAAGCAAGCCGGTCAGATATAGTACCCAAAAATACATCATGTTTGAGATGACGAAGGAGTTTTTTTTTTAAAAAAAAAGAGGGTGTTCATTGGTATCTGAAAACTATGTACATATTGGGTATCTCGGAATGGTATGTGATTATTAATAACTCTTGATCAAAAGAGCGTACGTTTTGCGAAATATGACAGCATTAGAATGTTCACACCAGGTGAAGACATTGTTCTCGAGGCGCAGGGACGACGAAATTCCAAACTCCGCCTATCCTCGCCTGAACCACTTGGTTATGTCTCCTTTCACCGTCTTCCTGAGATGTTCATTGAATCCATAAGTGATGGCGTTGGTGAGTCCAATGAACTGGGTTGAGGATTGAAGGACAGTCAAGACATGGCTTTTGTGTCCTGAGGCTTCTACAAGACGGTTGATGATACCCGGCATCCAGAGAATGATGTATAAGATTGGATATGCGTTGAGAAGCAGCATTCGATTGACTTCCTTATCCAAGCTTCGTTGGCTGCATACGCTGTGCTGAGTGGCTCCAGTCAGATTGAATCCAGTATCCTGTGTTCCGGTGGAAGCCTTGCCAGCCTCAATTTCTTTGTCCACAGCGGGAGATGCACCTGCAGTAAAAGTCAGCAAACAATCTTGAAGCGTATATACGTGTGGGGGGTCGCACTTTGGATGACGACAAAGGAAGAGAATGACGCACGTGAATCCATGTTATAGGAGCTTGGGGGCAGCGATATGTCGCTCTTGTAGCTTTGATGCTTTTCCCAGTCAACGGCCGAGTGCTCGACATCCTCTTTCGTAGTACTGTTGCCATGGGTATGGGTGTGTTCGACTTCGAAACGGTACTCGACATTGATTTCATTCAACTCCGTCTGCGAGTTGCTCTTCGGCGGAGCAGGAGCGCTCCGGCGAGACTTTCGGTGCTTGGATGTGATTCTCGGATCGTACGAGTTTGTGAAGGTCCTGATGTTCAGGTTTGAGAAGTGCTTCCTCATATAAAACCAGATGTAGACATAGATGAAGATGCAGGAAAAGATGATAGTGAATCGTAATCCATGGGCTAAGCCGTAGCGCAGATCTGTTCGGTCGGCAGATATCCAGCACCAGTTTCCGCTAACGGGACTTATTGCGTGCAATCCTGCTACGGTAGACGCTGTTGAGTTCAGTTAGTTTGGCGCTAGAAGGGCGCATCGGCGAGCTTACCTGATATGGTGGGCATTATCCAGACGGAACTGCAGATAAGGACCTTCTTGAGAGTAGACACAGTGGGCATGTATGTCTTTCGCGTGATGGTGAGGAGTGTTACAATGGCAATGGCTAAAACGGAAAAGTCGGCAGCCTGGACAGACCACTGGCCTACCCAGCCGTTGACAACACACACAGTGCCCGGCCTGAGATCATGGCGGTTGGCGACAGCGTAAATTCCTGATATTGAGTTGTTGACACTATTGATGAATTCTGGCGCGATTGTCAGTTTCTATCTGGAAACGCATGGTTCGGGGTCGAGATGTGCTTACCGGCAAGGCCGAGGTTGAGGACAAGTGCGTGGCGAAAAGAGCGCTGTTGATGGCGGTAGACGACATAACAGACGAGGACGCACGCAGTTGCCACCATGGAACACAGACTGCCAATAAGGGTGGGAATCGCGACACTCGCAGTGTAACCCATGGTGAAACCGGTGCGAATGTGTGAATTCGACCTGTAGAATAGTGATCAACGACTGGCGGACAAAGATCCACCCGGACATGGGGAGCATGCTGTTATATGCAACGGCCGCGGCAATGCAAACAGTTAGCGTCGCGTAGCCTGAAATTGGGAGGGCGCTCAAATCCGGGCGAACTCATGCAGCAACCCAAGCAGGATTGCCATCCGTTTCCCGCTACAGTAGGTACTCGGATTCCGCTGCCATGCAGAGAGTTTCAACTATGCCGTTCGCTTGACCCGCGCTTAAAGCGGGCCTAAGCCAAGTACTGCGACCATCTATTGGCAGAAGGCATGTCATAGGAGGGATGCTTTGCGAGAGTCTATGTACCAACAACAAAGCCCAGTCGTTCACCACGTTCCCGCCTGGAGACAACCAGGCAATGCCTCCAACGTTGCCCACTGGCCTGTGGCCAGGGAGCGGTGTACGAAGGCCTATTTTTTCTCCTCTCGCAGCTCACTGGCGGCCCGAAAGCTTATGCCGTCATGGCAGTACACCGAGTAGTGGTGGTGGTAGTGGTGGTACCGGAGCAGCTCCGAAGTGCGCCTCGCGTGTGTGTGTGTGTGTGTGTGTGTACATGGGCTGGCCATAGCAATAGCATGATTTGGGTCTTGTCCAGCTCTTGAAGCTTGACTTGTTATTGGCAAGATCTCCATTCCATGGACTAGGACCCGAGTCAAGGTCCTGTGCACTTCCCCGGCTTTGGACGCGTGCCATCACGCCCGTCGATCTCCCGAAACGCAGTCCCATTCGATTGTCTCCTACGCCACGCCACGCCACCATGTGCACGCCCCCTTACCCCAAACACGTCTTTCCCGCCACACTGGCATTGACTTTTGATCTCACACAGCCTGCATTGACATCGGCCAGCGACTTGAGAATGCCGGTGTATGTAGCGCGCCAGCGATCCGTGCCTAAGTGTACCCAGCCGTGCCCAGCTGTACCAAGAGCATCATGACACCGCCTGACACCGTCAACCGGCCCTACAATCATTACGCCGCTGCTTCGAAAGCACTTGCCCGCCCGGCACTTGGCCATGGGCGGTAATGCCCTGTAAATGTGGAGAGATAAGTCTCAAGCCCTAAGTACCAAGACCCTAGGCCTTCTTTCGTCACTAGAGCACGTTTCATCGTCAAGCACTCGAAGCCTGACTTGCCCATGTAGATCATCGAGCGCACTGTTACACATACTGATCTCGCATAAACTCTTGATATTGACCCCAATTTCGATGCCTACCACCCTCGCTTTGCCCCTTGGCTGCGTTACCAGACATTGCCAGCACAGCGAATTCGAAGAAGCTTTCGCTTATCCAGCGCCGCGCCTATCACACGCATGGCGCTATTTACGCGTGCCCATGTTCACGGCTCACTCGTGTTCTAGCCATGCCTGCCGTCTCCCGCCATGGCCAATCACCCAGTCTGGGTGCTTTTTTGGATTCCGAACGCAAGTCAGCGTTTGCGCTAGAATCGATAGAGGGGGCTGAGAAACCTGTATTAACCGACCTCTTCACTGTCCTGACTCCGTCTAGTCGAGCGTCCGGCTTACCAGGCGACTGGTGGAGTAGGTTCAATGCCATGGGGAATTTCCCCGAGACTCCGAGACCTGTAGTCAGATGTAGACAGGGGGTATACACACACTTATCTGTGATACTAAAATCGACCATCGCCACAGCGTCGGTTATCGACCCAAGTACTTGAACAGCCTCTTGATGACACCGGTTCGCAAACTAGGCTGAATAAGGCGCGGGGTGTCCGCGAGCCTGACTATAGCGCTAACTACAAGTGGAAGTTAGGCGCGCCTGAGCCACGTGTCGTTGTGGTTGTTTCCCGTAGCCATCCGCGAACACACCCGCTAAACCCTTTGCTGTTCTACACGCCGTCCTAGTGCAAAGAACCATCCTTTTTCACCTATTGTATTGTTGCTTTAGTTGGCTATTGTCTTCCCTGGCCACTAGCGCAATCCTGCTATAGGCAATCGTCCCAACTCCCAAGCCTATTTTCCATGGTGAATTAGCTGAACATTGGAACCCACTGGGAACGTATTCCATGTACCTAACCTCGATTTGAGGTATGTCTATCATTTGCCAAGGATGTTGTCAGCTTTTGAGGGAATTTTTCTCAGCGAATTCTACCGAAATCCGGATTTCCAAGAATACGCTAGAACAATTATAAATAAACACTGTGGTCCTAACTCAGACTTTTTAGATCATGGGAGCAAAGTTGCAAGCCTTATATTAATATCATCCGGGGTGGTTTCTTTCCTGGAATAAGATGATTGTTCGCTCTTCGAAGCAAGAAAACATCACACTACTTTCTGCAAAGCTACAGAATAATGCATTATAAGGGGTTAAGGCCAAGAACGCTCTTTTATATCAGAAAAGACATAGATGCAGAGGTCAACCCATATATTAGCGACGACAACGATTTACAAGCTATTACAATACTCTCCTCTTCAACTAGGATATATATATATAACATTTATAACGAAAAAAGCCTAAAAGAAGGGCTTAACAAGACAACAATCCAAAGGCGCCTACTCAAAGAGACTCTACGAACCCTCCT